ATGAGGTGTCACTAGGAACTGTTTTTGTAATTTAAGCTATGCTAATTTTGTTTCCCTTCTGTAGTCTTGAGCTAAGTTTTAATCGGCATCTTTTTGGCATTTAAGCGTGGGTACGCTGACCTGATTTGAGATAGGTACAATGTCCTCATTTTGTGGACAATGAGGTGTCACTAGGGACGTGACAGTGAGTAGTAGACATCATACAATTATAGCTATAAAATTGAGTTTAAGCTTTTTTTTTTTTTTTTTGGTTTCTTTAAATGCTCAGTTCAAAGAACGTTCTTGGATACTACAACTGTTATAACTACCCACTTACACTGCCCTAAAATTCATCTGGTCCATTACTCTGTAACACTGTCATACCTGTTTACAAATTGGTAAACTGCATGAGACGCCTCAAATTAAACTTTTCCATTTTGTTTACATTGGGAACTCAAGGGTAATCATTTCCTTACCCCCCACCCTGCCCCTTCTTAATTATTGTCTAGCTGAGTTTCTGTTCAGTTCTTCTATTTTCCTTATGTGGAGTACCCTTAATACTAGAGATGCTGAAGCCAGGTATTTAATATTTTTATATAAACAGATGTTACACAAAAAAGCAAAAACATTAAAGTTCTTTGTGGTCGCTCTTATTTATTTTTTAGAAACTGGCTTTTTGTTTTATTGTCTTTCTATTCCCATTCTAAGATAGGTGTTAATATTATTCTCTTACATTTTTTTTAACCATAAAGTTGTCATTAATCTTTTAAATCAAAAAGAGGTTTTTCATTTATCATTCAATAGCTAAAATTATGGTAAAATTTTTTAAGAGTCTGCTATGCAATTAATAATAAGATTTAATTATAACAACATTTGAAACTATGGAATGTAGATATTAGATTCTCTTTTTATCATGAACTGCCAGGTTCCTTATGTCCATTTAGTGCAGAATCTTGGAGTTTTCAACTCAACACTATCTTTCGACTCACACATAAGTCAGCTCTGCAAGGGTCTTTATCTGCAGCTGCGCAGATTAGGCCAGATCCGACCATATTTAACAACGGAGTCAACAAAAACGCTAGCTGTGGCATTCATACTCTCCCGCCTTGACTACTGCAACACCATGCTAGCAGGTATACCCAATGACAAAATAGCCAAGCTGCAACATATTCAGAACAATGCCGCACGAATAGTCCTTAGAAAAACAAGACGAGATTCTGCTACTACGCTCTTGCGCACGCCCCATTGGCTTCCCATGAAAGTGAGAATCGATTACAAGGTCGTCACACTTTGTCATCAGTGTATATAAAAAACAATGAGATGCCCTTGCACCTTAGCGAACTGATTACTCCATATGTCCCCTAGAGAGTCCTGCGTTCAGTGGACTCAACGCTTTAAGTGGTTTCACTCCCCATTAATCTCAGACAGACAACATGCTACACCACTTTTAAGAAGAACATTAAGACCTATCTGTTTAAAACTTTTTAGATTAATTGTCAGTACAACACAACCAGATCTAAACTCCATAATCAGGAACATATAGTCATATAACCAGCACATAAGGATGCTGACATGGTCTAAATTGTGCTGATGACAAAAAAACAACAATAAATATAAGGAGGTTAGATGGTCAGAAACTTGAGGCATCAGACAAAAAAAAACAACTTACTGACACTAAATTCCATGGTCCAAGAAGAATTGACCAGATTTATTCTTACAAAAAGAAAATTATTATTTGTATACCTTCATATCCCCCTATTCTTTTAATGACATTATCTCACACTCTTTCATGCTCAGTATTAATTCTGTTTCTTCTTTCTGATTTCCTGCCCTTTTTTAGCTGGTGTAAAGTTTTTTCTTTTCAACTGGTTTGATAAATTTTAACTAAAAGCTAATCTTGTGTTCATTGTTTGTTAATAGTTGATGAAAGCCTGGATCAAACATCCTTTGTCTTAATTTTGGTCATCAGCAAAACCCTATTTACATATATACATTTGAGTTTTGAAAATGTTTCTTTCCTAAGTGCAGTGTTGTCCTCGTTTGGATTATACTTAACAGTTTGTAATCATCAGAGCATTATTAATATGTTTGTTATGATTTCTATTTTACCTTTTCAGGATAATACTTTTGTGCCACCAACACCCTTAATGTCTGCCAGGGTTTTAAAAGAAGAGGAGGAAGTATGGATGGATGTCCAGGTACATGCTTCTGTATATTAAATTGGCATCTGTCAATTGGACTGGCAAAAAGGAAATTAATTTTCTTCTAGGTGGTGTGTGTGTGTGGGGGGTGGGGGGGGGGGGGGAGTCTGGCTTGTTTCTATTTTTTTTTTTTTTTAAAGGGTGGTGTCCAGTTTTTGTCAGTTTACAACACTTTGGCACTAGAAGTTTTGATGGGAAAACACATACCATTTGTTATTATCATGGTCTACATTTCCATCACCATGTTTAATAAGTGAGACACGAGGCTTATCCTTTGTTATCTTACTTCACAGCAAGAAGACTCCAGTTCCAGTTGTTTATAGATCATAAATAAAATAGTTAAAAATAAATCAATGTAGAGGGTGCAGGAAGAGAGCTACATAAACTTAACCAACTGCTTGCATTCTGTTTCATTTCAGACTCCTTCAACTACCCACATTATTATTTATGCTTACTAGTGTCTTACTCTTTTATTTAAAATTGTAAATCTGGCCCTGGTAAAAGGGTTAAGAGTCATGTGTTTTCTCTTGTGTTTTAAGGATTATAATAGCATCACTAATCTGGGCTTGGTTTTGTTTTCTTCACCTTCTAACTCAATCATCTATTTTATTCTAGTGCTGCTAATATGTGTTTAGGGTATTCATGTATATTCATGGTTTTTTTTTTTTTTCACTTTAATCAGGAAGAGATGACCAATGCTCTTGCCACAATGCGGGTTGACTACGACCAGTGTGTAAACATTAAGAACCTTCAGCAGTCTAACAACCCTCTGCTAAAAAAGCGAATGAAACAGGGTCCTGAAGGTGCGGCAGCCATGTAGAGACTGATCACTCCCCACCATGTCATCTTTCTTCTTTCATCGTGTACAAGTAGACCATCTTTATAATCAGTATACTCTTAGTCACACATTTTGCTATATAATTGTATTTTTTTTAATATGAAAAAGTTGTTTTTTTTAATCATTATGTTTGTGTTGCCGCAGAGAGATGACATTGAAATTTGTCTGTAATCTTCCATTAAGTTTTAAAATATGTTTGTTCATATTCTGTTCATATACAAAATGAAATTTCATATTCCTTTCTGTCATGATGTGATAAAAGTTGTGTTTCCAAACAAAATGTAGCTGTTACTGTCTGATAAAATTTTTTGAAAGTGTTCTCAGACTGTTTGTGTATTTATTGTCACTAAGTTATATTGCACTGCATTTTATTTCTAGTAGTGCTACATTCATTTTAGAAAAAAAAAAGTTACTTGTATACACACAGCATAAAATGTCAGTGATTTTACGTTAAAGAGAATTTAGAAAAACATGATGGGTTCCAAAATAAATAAAATATTTATGAAATTCTAAAATATTCTATTTCTTATGCTCATGCAGGAAGCTGTTTATGTTTTGGGCAGGAGTTATAAGAGCATCCCTTATGGCTCTTTCGCATCATTTTGCAGTCTGTCAGTCTCGTCTTCTCAATGACTCTGTAAATGAAAGGCCAGTCCACAGGCTGATTGATGCCAGCCCAATCTCTCTTTAGTCTTCCCCTCTCTTCCATTTGTTGTCATGCTCTCCAGGATTATGTGCCCTTTCATTTTCAGTGATCATGTCATCTAAGTTTAAATTTTAACAATTTTGGTAGTTTGGTCATTTATCTAGAATGACAGTGCAGTGTCTAAGCTGGATGTATCTGAAAACATTATTTGATTCTAAATCTAAGTATCTAACAATTTTGGTAGTTTGGTCATTTATCTAGAATGACAGTGCAGTGTCTAAGCTGGATGTATCTGAAAACATTATTTGATTCTAAATCTAAGTACCGGTAATGTAGAATTGGAAGTCATCATAAGATGTTGAGCACATTTTTGGGGGAGAAAATTTACTAAGTAGGTTTTCTTAGGGAGTTTTTATGGAAACATTGCATTTGGCCTACTCTTGCACTTGTTGACTTGATTCTATTTGGTTTATATCATACATTATCTATTGATTTAGAAAGAATATAACTGCAACATTTTAGCTGAAATAGGAATCATTCCATGATAAACATTTTTCATATTTGGAAATAATTTTGTTGAGAGAAATTAGTCAATAACTGTGTGTGATGAGACTTGTCTGTTTTGGGCATATATTCTTCCAATGTTGATGTGGACTACCAACATGAAAGATTCATTGTTTGTCTTATCTTCCCTTAGATTTCTCAGTAGTTCTCTATCATCAGGACCAGCATTATAGTTTTCTTTTCTCTACTGTACTGATAGGGTCAAGAAAAACTCTGCTTTACTTTGAATGCAATCTAAATTAATAGTCATTTTTTTTTAATTTGGGCATTCAATTAAGGAGGGTTTTAGTGAAGAGTCCTATGAAGTTGAGAAATTCTAATTAGGTCTTAGTTAAATTACTTCAAAATGTGCTTGTTGTGAGCGTTATCTAATAATTAGTATTTTGCTGAGTAGAATGATCCAACTTGGTTTGTTTGGTTGTTTGTTTTTTTTTGTTTCAATTCTTTGTTTTACTAGCTAATTTTTAAAAATGTTTTACAGCTGTTTTTTTGAAACTCAGTATCATTTCTACTGTTTGCTAGAGAGATACAAATAATTTTTTGCTTGATTTTTGTTTTTGTTTCAGTGGATTAAGTCATTTAAATTAAATGTTTAGACCTGCTATTGATTAGGTTTGTCTTGAGTATGAACTAATCTGCATATGCTGATATAATAATAGAAAGAAAGAGATTGAATGGGGTGCTTGTTATTGTTGAGGAAGCTAAATCAAATTTTTTTTTTTTTCTCTTTCCAAATAATTTAACGCATCAATGTAAAATAATTTTATATATATATATATATATATATATATATATAATACAACAGTATTGTTTGGTGTCCATTTAATTTGTTGCATTTCATCCAAATGTTCTTTGTTTATTGTTTCCTCTTGAGGACTAAATGCTATGGTCATGATATCATCCCAACCTACTAACAAATTTGCCTTATATTTAGTGTACATTACTGTTGAATGTCGGCTGATAAATAAAATATACATGCTCATTTTGAAAGTTCTTGTCAGTTTGTTGGATTAATACATCACCAACTGGTAAATTATTCTTAAACACAGTGGGTGCATGATTAGAAATTTGTTAAGCTGTCCTTGTGGTACAAGTGAACATTGTTCTGACTACTAGAGAATTTTGAAAAAGTAAAGAAAAAGATGAACATATTAAGAAAAAGTGTTTTCAAATCCTAGTGGTAGAGGTTTTCAGGAAATAGTAGAAATAATGCTTTTCCTTAGTTTTATAAAAATTAATCAACCACTGCCTAAATTTCTGTAAAGCAGGAAAGTTAGTAACCTATGTGTTCTATATAACTGAACTTTGTCTGGTAAGCAACCAAGCATCCTTTGTTGGTCATATGAGTGGTTCATCTTACTTCTATGTAGAGTTACCATATTTTTGGTCTTTATATATTTACAAGAGGTTAATGTCTTTGCAACTTTTATAGTTGGAGTGAAATTGAATATATAATAGAAAATACTATTTGAAGATGAAGAATGGAAGGAATTTATCTCTGGACTGAAGAATAAACATTTTGATACTGCATCATGTGAAGGTCCAAGAAAAAAATAATTATGTTTAGTCTGATTTATAGTTGGCTTATGAGGTGATTGAAGAGTATAGGTTCAACAGAGACATTTGATTCATTACAAGAGGTCCACATAGAATATAATTGAATAGTCAACATGACAGTGGCATAATTATATAATAGTTACTTAAGGTCTACCAATTTAAAAGTTGAAAGGGTCAAAGAAATAAGGGTAGTCCTCTTCTCTTGACATTGAAGCTTAGTTTAAAAAAAGACAAACTATTTCTCAAGGATGTATCACTACTAGTCCATCATTTAGTCTATTGCACAACTTATTGTATTCACCATGTATAATGAGCTCACATTTTGTACGTTAATGTATTACCCTGAAGTTTAATATGCTATAATTCTGTACAGGATTATTTATCCTGACTGTGTGACAGGGATAGGTTGTTACCCTTCCCATTACTAAATTATTTGTCTTCATTTGTATTGTCATTTTTAATAAACTTCTTTCTCCTTCCTCCTTCTACTCCTCTCCCCCCTGTTTTGCATTTAGAATTTCTTTTTTTTAAAGGCTTCCTTTGGACCAAGTTGTTTTCCAATGGGCTCTTAAGTAAAATAGTTTGCCAGTATTTTTTTTTTTTTTAGCTACTGACTTAACATATTGTTTGTATAGTTGTCTTTCCAGAAGTATTCCCTTGATGAGACATACAGAGGCTGGTATATATATTCTAGAACATCACTTCAGACCTCCTTCCTTGAGTAAAAATCCCCATAAAAACTAAACTGTATATGGAACACAACAACTTGAGAGTTGCCACTTTCCATGTAGCTCTTAATAAAATATCTAAATCAAAAGAAAGAATTCAATCATCACTCCATTGAGCAATTTTTTTTTCAATGAATATAGAGAATGCAGGCTTTAAGACAGGGTTGACTGTAATATATTTAAAAAAGAATCGTATATAATAGATTTGACAGTTTCTGAATCTGGTGTTTATTGTTTTGTACAACAGTTATACTTTGTGGAACTGTAAATATATTTTCTTTATCATGATTTAGAAATGATGGAGATATAAAGAACATTATAGGTAGTCATCATTGATTGTGCTTGAACTGTATAAATCAATATGGCCTTATAGGCTTCCTGTATATAAACGGCTAGAAAACTATATATACATGCATATATAATAAATTACATGTTTATATGCATTAATACATTTGTTCTCAAAAAATTATTTAGATAGTGCTTTTGTTTTTAAAGAAAATTTAGTTTTTCTATTATATTGTTTGTGTTTCAAAAATCTTTTTTTTTTTTTTAACATAATTCTGTGCAGATTTGAAACATTATCATAAATGAAGGACTTATTAACGATTGATTTTTGAGATTGATTGTCCTACCAAAAATTCAATCTTCCAGTGACACCAAAGGTAGTGTTAATGAGGAGTGCATAATGTACAAACAGAATTGAATGGAAGAGAGACTTTCTGGTGAAAATGGAGCGTATATATAGAAAAAGTTAAAACCTCTGAATTACTTGAATCAAATATTTATTTTGTTGTGGGTTTTTTTTATAAACTGATCAATTATTGTTGTTTAAATACTCCAGATGTATGATTACTGCATTTTAATTAAATTATGTAAATTATTTTTTCCAAACAATAATTATGACATGTATCAGGGAAGATAATCCAGGTTGAAAATTCTTAGAAGCAGAATTGACTTACTTTTAGTGGTTAAGTAAAAATGAATATTGGATAAAAAAATAGCTCTATATATTCATAACAACAGACTGAGACTGACAATATGGAAAGTCAAAAATAAATGTTGAACTATATACAGTAGGGTTTATCTTCCTAAGACTTGAAGTTAAAATAGAAGCACCGAACTGTGGATCATTTCATTCTCATTACTGTGAAGGATTTCACGAGTAGTTGACAGTTTGACCACAGCCCTAACATTACGTATACGCAAATGACACCAGCGAAAAAGGGGGGGGGGGGGGCAGGGGTAATTGAAAATGTTGACAAAATGTCCAAATTTAAGGCCATCATGCATCAGTTCAATCATCTGTTTCCTGACGAAAGCCTTGCCTTCATTTGATCGTGTAGACCGCATACATCACCAAAGTAGGTTGCACTCCATGTGTTTGGCATGCCATTGTTTTGTAATGATTGGGTCGAAGTCTTTTGTTCGTGCCGTGTACTGGCCTAAAAGATTGTTGTTGTTTTTTTTTAAATAAAGCCCATAGTTAATGTATTATATAAAAAATAGCCTTTAATTAAATTGAATATTTCATAAACGTCTGTGTTCTTGTTGACTTGCTTAGTGGAGGCTGGTTTTGTTGCCTGGTTTATCACGTGTCACGTGGTGAGGCTGCTGTGTTTTTTGTATGTTCTAACATTTAGTGCCTGATCTTAGTACGTGGAGGCCCTCTGCAGCATTGTTGTGGAGGTTGCTACCTTCTTCAGTCTTAAATATATATGCACTTTATACAATTCAGACTTGTAATAGTATGTTGTATTTATGAAGAAAGAAAGTGAGTACTTGCTTATTTTGTTTAATTTAATGTATCTGGGGTGCTAATAGAATTGTTTGATATTTTGTAATTGTCTTTGCTGACTCTACGAGTGCATTTGTTGCATTGTGTTGCTTTGTGGTGTCTTTGCGTCCAGTGTTGTATTCCTCAATAGGTATTACTGTGGGACTAAGCAGAGAAGTTTATATGACTTCTAGGAAATTCGAGAAGTGTTCATCTTATTGCACTACCCCCCTAACAAAAAGTGATTTTTGATCGATTTCTTCATTACATTGACATAAGTCCTACCCACTGCTGAGCGGATTCCAAGTACCGGTAATTTTGTTTTCCTTTTGGTAGTTGTGGTGTCTTCTTGACCTTTGAACGCAATCTTAATGCACAGAGAAAAAGACTTTTTGTGTTTTATGTTTGATTTTTAGTTTCTTAGCCCTACACCTGCGTCAAAAACAAACTAATTTGATCACTGCTAGTCCTCTCCTCTGAGATACTGCGTACTCCAAATTTTTTTTTATTACAATCTTTATTACTAGTTATTGTTTGTTCTTTAACTCTAACAGTAGGTCCTTTTCAAATATATAGTGTTCATATTGGGTAAGTATTGGAGACAAAATTTTGACATTCTCTTGAGTCAAACGTTCGGTGCCAGACAGTAAAATGCTCTTCTTTGGGAAATGAGATGTTTTAATTTGACAACGTTGCACACTATCAAGCCTTGACAGCTTCTCTTAATCCAAAGTTGAGCACACATCTATTTGCTCTGTGCACAGGTGAGACTGGAGCGGTTCACACACACCTAGAACAAAAATAGTTTCTTTAAAATCACACCTTGACTATAAATATTTTTTTTAATTTTTACAAAAAAAAACAACAAAAAAACTGACGAATATAAAAATGGCCCCTATGCATATATTTATATTTTAGACGCAGCTACATTTGTTTGTTTTGTAAAATGTTAAACATGTTTCGGATGTTCCTTTAGAGTTAAGATAATTTACTTCCTAGTCGAAACCTCCAGCAAAACGACGGGGGTTGGGAGCGGGCAGGGTTTGAATACGGGACCATCTATAAATCTGAATGACAGTCCAATGCGCAAACTGCACGACCAGGCAACCATCCTAATCCCAACATAATTATATTTGCCCTTACAAATGATTCTACTTAATGAAGCTGGTGGAGGTCTGTCTCTTTCTTTCTTGTTACGCTTCATATTTTCCAAGAGTCTAGTATTTGACATTTGTATATTTGAAAACGTACTCGAAGCTGGCAATGCTGGTCTTCAGGCCTACGTATGTCATATCTACTTATTGATTCAACAAAGAAACATTTGAGCCGAGCGCGGTAATTCCCGTTAGATCTGTGTAATTTTTTTTTCTTTGACCTCATGCGAAAGAATTTTATTGATAAAAAGACGTAATCTAAATTTAATTTTTAGAGGATTAAATAATTCTTTTAAAAATATAAAGGGCAAACCAGAGTTTTGACTGTGTGGCCAAAAGCTAGTTTTTTTTTCATCAAATTTCTGTCAAATTTCTAGGAAAATCGTTTGAGCCGTTTTCGAAATACCCGTCCAACTTCCGATTTCCCCTCCAACCAACACATGAAAGAAATGCAAGCTTAACGTAGGAATTGTAAACAAAAAAACAAACAACTTTCTAAACTAAACCTGGGTGTCCCGTTGCGTTCAGAATCCAGTGAACGCCGCTGTTTGGTGTCCAGGTACAAGTAGGATCTCCCAGCTCAAATCCATTAGTCATCCCATCACTGTCCGAGTCCAATCTACAGAGAGATTCAGTCCACTGAAAGCCAGCTGATTGGAAGTCCTGAAAACCAAGGGAAAACAATTGCGCAGAAGAGTTGCTAGCATTTCATTGTTACTTCGACTCTCCATATTGTTTAGAGAGAATGTATGGAGTAATACGGAAAAGGGGGGGGGGGAGGAGGTAAAAAACGATTAGAATGCATTGTATGATAACGATCTTTAACATTACTTACGTAGCCAAATGGATTTAATTCTCCCCATCCGATCGGGTCAAAGTGACCAACAGCCTCCCACACGCCACCGGAAGGACACGGGTTACGTACATGGTTTCCATTTGGTATGCGAGCTCTGAGAGATGGGAAGCAGTTCACAGCAAGAACAGCGGAGGACATAAATATCAACACTTTAGTAACAACCTGATGATGATGAAACAAGCAAAATAAAAAACTAAATAAAAATTTATTTTTTTTTGCTAAACATTTTTAGATTTACTTCCCTTTTTTTTTGAATAAATTAAATTAAAGCTAATTAATTAATTAATTGGTTAATTTTTTGATTGATTCGTGTTTCGTGATTTATTCGTGAATAATTGTGCAAAGTATTTCAACTTGCTTGATTCGTGAATGGATAGTGGGAGACTTCAAAGATTTGTACCGAGACAGAGAGTGAGAGTTGGTAAGCCTAATAAATAAAAGGAGATTAAAGGTTCCGAAGATTGAAAATAAATACATTGTTTCACATGACTACACAAATAAAGCTTCTTGTCGACCGGCCGTCTACTTGTTTTCTTTTCGCCTTCTGCGTTTGTATTCAATAAGGGCTTTTTGGGGTCTTAAATGTGTGTCCCATTGGTTACGGAGTGTGTGTGTTGCTATGATAACGGTGGGAAGAGGTTAGCGATTGATTGTGATTGATGCAACATAGGTGACATTGTCGTCATTTGGTCTTAGTTAGGACAGACGACTCCAGAACGTGAGACTGAAAGGTTGTGTTATTGTAGTGAGTTAGATTTTGCTAAAGAATATTATTACTAAAGTCTGCTATATTTATTTAGCTCTATAAACCTCATTTTGTCTATATTATAAATAACGTTATATTTAGTATTGTTGGAAGTTATTCTAGTTATTTGAAGTTTTAAGATATATTGCGCCCACAACGGCTGAGTTGTCTACCAGCAGTTTGGTTCTACAAGTCAACGACCGGTAACATCACCATAGCCTTTGTGAGAGACTTCAAACTATTTCTTTCCATGAAATTCTTTTTTTAATGTCGAAATTTAGTTTAGGCTGCACTATAGCATTATCTCCCTTACAGCTGATAAAATAAGTTCTTCACCAGTAGTGAACGTCTTTCCATGAATAAAGAATTTAGAATAGATGCTAGTCCTATGAACTGTTGCAGTGACGGTGTTTTCAAATATTTTTCCTTGAAGAAAGAAACGTAAAATCGTATCTTTATTTTTTTGTCCCTATGGATTTTTATGAAATGTTCCTGAAGCTTCATTGAATGATTTAACATAGTTTTATTACACAGAAGACATCTAGGTAAAGTGGACTTCCTATTTGTTAGTGATTTTTTATTATTTTATATTAAAACCTTGCGCGGGCCACATAACATTGTTCAGGGACATTAAAATAAATTTTAATTTTCTACGTAACCCCTGAATGATACCGGGGACCCCTTGGGGTAGACCGATACCACTTTTAGAGCCACTGTTCTACACCTACGATAAAAAAAAATGTTCTTTTTCTCAGCGTGTAGAAATCACACATGCTTTAAGCGAGACTACTCGTTATAGAAGCCCTGAACACTGACCTGCAGCGTCACAACTTGTGGAAGTTTAGACCAATAGTTCGTTGCCACGCCGAAATGACTTGTGACGTGTCAACGAGCTACTGGTCTAAACTACCCACAGGTTGTGAATTTGCATGTCAGTGTTGCGGCGTTTTATAACGCATGGTCTCTTTTTGAATCACATAAAAGTGACAACTATCATGAGTTAACTGTGGGCTACATAAATGTTTGTTAGAGGCGTACAGTTTCTTCTTTAGTGTTTCTCTTTTAGCAGACGCTATAAACAGCTCAAGTCTCCACTAACAAACTACATTGAAGGATAAAACATCAAAGTAATCGATAATTTCATCACATTTACCAATTTAATCAACTTACCATTTGTATTTGATGGTCTAAGTTAAAACTCGACAACATGGATTCATAATTCATTCATTAGTCACAACGATTGTGTCAAGCTAATTATATTATTCAATTTTAAAATTTATTTTTGTCTATTATAGACGTAAGCTTATCATAGGACATCTATATGCGCGGTGAAAAAAAAAAGAAATTAATTATTGTTCATAAAATAAGAATTTGATCTACTGCGAGAGTTTCATCGTTATCTAACCTTCACCCTTACATTATAAAAGAAAGATTCATAGAATGGCAGTCACATACACACTACGGCGAAAGTCTGTGTTAGAGATAGAACAAGAGTAGGCCTACATAATCCAAGATTCTTTTATCTCGACCTCTTATCATTAGGACCTAGCATGTAATGTACACTTTTTTATTGGTAGACTTCTATTTTTCAGTTTCAAATGAACAAAGAGCGTTAGAACCTGTATCACATCCGAAACTCTGCAAGCAAGGCCGGCCTTAGGCCACTGCAACCTTGTTGAAAAACTACAATCTACTGTAGATGGCTCGTATAGTTAATTTGACCTTGATTTTGTCATTAGTAAAGTTTGAATAAATTGCAAAGACAAATTTTATTTTCTTTTACAAAATCTTAATTTTCACTTATTATCCTTATCTATACCCAGACTGGGCCCCGCTCATTCCGTTTCGCATAGGGCCCCGCAATCTGTAGGACCGGCCCTGTCTGCAAGGGTAGATAAGATTCAGTTTAACGGTGTAGAGAAATAAAAGGGGTCTCCAAGGAAAAGTTATAATAATAATTTGTTACAAACTGTTGACTTAAGAATGGGTATATATGTATTGTTTCATATGCTATGTGGCAAAATATGTAGGTCACAGCCAAGGGAAATACTGCATTTCTCACTGATCTTCGGACTCGAAGACTAGCCTTATTATTATTATTATGTTATTCATAGTCTAAATGCTAAATGAAAAAAAAAAGCAATAGTTGAACAACCAAATATTCAATTCCATTGAAGTTAAAGCCGTAGCCTACAATGATGGCGT